ACACGAAGTTATAGATTTATTTATTGTACGGGGAGCATTATATAGCTATTTGTTAGAATGAAGAGTCTAGCTCAGGGTGATGTTTGCTGGCCTTGTATTGATTCAGACCTAGATCACAGCATATAAAGAGATGTCAACTTTTCAAAACTAAAAAAGACTTTAAAAAAAAAACAAAAAAAAAAACATTAAAATTTTTTTTTTCTTTTTTCCTGTACCAAGTCTATGAGAAGCAATACGTACTAGACTAGCAAACAGAGAATATATGTATTTTCCAACACAAAAAGAGACTATTTGTACTCGGTCTCTCAGAAACGTATTAAATATGTATATACAATGTATATATATATATAGGTGGGTTTTTTTAACATGACATACTAGTTGGCAGCTATTAGTTAAACTATGATGTGCACTTTGTCAGCAAAAAGGCGTCAGCACACACTCTTTTAAACATACACCTGGTTATTGCCGGAAAAGCCCCTGAGCAGGATACATTTAGATTTTGTAGAGCAGATCCTTTCTTGGGAAAGATAAAATGTTTCTGACTGTGTCAGTTATACATTTTCCAAATGGATTCGTATCAAGGTTACAACAAAAATCACCACTTACGATGCAATCTTTCAGCTTAAGTCAATGTTTACTACTTAAGGTTTACCTGATAGGATTGCCAGATAGCGAACCACCTTTTTGTAGTGATGCGTTTTGAGAATCCTAATTATCTTACAAAGTAGTACAGCATACTCTCCTACTTCAAAAGTTCACCCTGCCTCAAATGGGCAATTAAATTTCACCAACAATCATATTCCTCCCTACCAGATTGTTTAAGGAAATGGTGTGTTCACTCGTTCAGTGGTAAAACTGTAGCTACGGGGGGAGGAGTGATAAATGTTTGTTATAAAAATCTGAATAATTCTTCCACTGTTCTTCCAATTCTCCCAATAGCATAACTGGCCTTTAATATATTGTTGAAAAACCACACCAATGCACAGGAACTTTTATTACAATGAATCTAGTGCTTTACTATAATTAGTATAGTTCTTATGGCTTAACTCGACATTTTCAGTAAAAACACTTTTCATACATTACAGGGTTCCCAGTGAAATCTCAAAATTTGCATTTCTTCAGGCAAAAGGAAAATCCCACTGAAATTCACTCAGAACAGGAAAATATTCATTGTGACAATCAATGTTTTTTAAGCAAATCAAAGGTTTCCTATTGGTGCAGTTTATTCAAATCGAGGCATACAAACCTACACGATGAACAAATTGGAGGGCGTCATCAGTTTGCCAAAACAGGAAAAAGTGTAAAGCGCAATGAGAAACTCCATGAAAACAACGATGTCTGTTTCATATCTGGCCCTTCATGGTTTCACTAGGTCAATTTTTGTCATAGATGAGAAAGTAGAAATAAGGCGCAATCTTCCAGATCTGCACACATTTTATTCACATTTTTGCAGGATTCGAGTAATCGAGGTACGTAAGGATTATGGCTGGGGAAGGGTACAGGTAAAGATTAGGGTACCATTCGGGTTAGGGTAATCGTTACCCTTGTAAACACAACACAAACCCTATACAAACTTCTCTCAAGTATCTATTATAATGTGAATCTACTAAAATTACAGTCACTCCAGACTCGTGCCCAGGAATTGTGCTGCAATTTTCATTAATTTTGATCTGTTTTACACAAAACTTCGACTTTCAGAGGTTCATCGCTAAAAGCCTGCACTGTGGTGTAAGTTTTTTAAACATAATTTGATGATTTCTTTTCGCAGCCCTCATGCTCTAAGCCTTAGAAGCATTATATTTCAGGTTTTCTTTTAAAATCTTGATGGGGCTCCAGAGGGGAAACACCCCATGGTAAACAAATC